AGTTTTGGTTCTTCATTAGGCAGTGACACAATAGTTTAATTTCATTCTTCCTGTTTGTATTATATGTATCTAAGTTAGCTCTAGCAAACTAGATTAAGTCAAAACAACGTAATAGCAGTTGCAAAACAAATTAAGATACCCCCTAAAACTAATGCATCCAGGAGAGGGGACAGAGTATATTTTAACCATGTCTGGAAAGTAGGTACACTGAGGATGGAGCAGCTAACATTTAAGGATTAAAAAGTGCACTCTTGGGATCCCTGGGTGGCGCAGCGGTTTGGCACCTGCCTTTGGCCCAGGGCACGATCCTGGAGACCTGGGATCGAATCCTACATCGGGCTCCCGGTGCATGGAGCCTGCTTCTCCCTCTGCCTGTGTCTCTGCCTCTCCCTCTCTGTGACTATCATAAATAAATAAAAATTTAAAAAAAGTGCACTCTTTTCTGCTATCGCCTTCAGTCATTATCTGCCAGAGGTTTCCATATCTGTTTAGTCTCTTAATTTGTCTCACTCTTTTTTTAAGATTTTTATTTATTATTTGACAGAGAGAGAGAGAACACACAAGTAGACAGAGTGACAGGCAGAGGGAGAGGGAGAAACAGACTCCACACTGAGCTGGGAGCCTGATGCGGGACTCGATCCCAGGACCCCAGGATCATGACCTCAGCTGAAGACAGATGCTTAACCTACTGAGACACCCAGGCACCCCAATTTGTCTCACTCTTAATTTAAGGATGGAGTTGGAAATGTATTACTTAAGAAAGAGTCTTATTTTACTAATGTCTGAAAACTAGTGGGTGATTAAGAAAGCTAAAAATTCCAAGAATTTTTTTTTTTATAAATAAATCCTGACAGTATAGAATACAGATACAATCAAATACGTTTGGGAGGGGGGAAGGAAGGTGCATTTTAGGGGAATTCAAACTGGTGATGTTTAGTTTATTACTTCTGAAATACAAAAGAAATCTTAATGGCAGATCAGATTTTAGCTTTAAATAATAATGGATTCCTGTATGCTATTTCATGAGAGATATTCAGAAGCAGTAGGAGAATTTGTAAGTATTAAGACTTAATCTGGTTTGCTAGAGCTAACTTAGATAAATAGCACGCAAGCAGGTAGAATGAAATTAAACTAGTGTGTCATTGCCTTTTCTTGGTCCTCTTAATCCTTCATAGGCCTAATATGCTAACAGAATTAGATATATTAATTGAATTCCTATTGGGATTATTTTGTGGTCATAATAATTAAAATGTTTCAAGAAAATGGAGAATTCAAGCTTACCTAACTTTGCTGGTATTTTAATTGTGAATAAGATTGCTCTTTATTTGGTTTTATTTGAATAGAAAATAAATAATGTAGTCCAAGAAAGGGGGAAATTGATTGTAAAAGTCCATCCTTATGTATTTAATGTTTTTCCATAGCAAGTCTATTTTGTTTTGAATAAGTATATCTAATGCAAATAAACTGGATGGATATATTTTCTTAAATGTTTAGTAAAATTATTATTGGAAAAAGTATTTGCAATAGGAGTTGTTTCCAAATCAGTTGCTTTTTTAGTTGCTGAATAATTCATTTGATAAACCTCTAACTTTTCTGTACTATAATCCTTTGTTGTTCTTACTAATTAAAGTATTAAATAATAAATAAAAGGACATGAAGGGTAATTGCAACATTTTATTCCTTTACTTTTGAAGGTTGTATCTTTGGAAGATAAAAGGATATCTGGGGAATGCATAGTGGGACTATGCAGAGTAGATACTGTAGAAAAACAAAATTTTTATTTCTCAGCCATAGCTTTCAGTACTCAAACAATGGGCTCTTGATAATGGATGAAAGCTTCTCTAAGGAAGAAGGTTTGTCAATACTAGAGATTTACTCCAATCAATAAAGCTTTCAACTGAAGAAAAGTGAAATTCCTTTATAAAACAATATACTAGTGAAGACAGAGGACTAATGAAAGAAGTGTCTAGGACCTGTACTCTAAAAACTATAAAATAGGGACGCCTGGGTGGCTCAGCGGTTGAGCGTCTGCCTTCAGCCCAGGGCGTGATCCTGGAGACCCAGGATTGAGTCTCACATCGGGCTCCTTGCAGGGAGCCTGCTTCTCCCTCTGCTTGTGTCTCTGCCTCTCTGTGTGTGTCTCTCATGAATAAATAAAATCTTTAAAAAAAAACTATAAAACATCGATGAATGAAATTGGAGACGACACAAACAGATGGAAAGATATTCCATGCTCATGGATTGAAAAAACAAATATTGTTAAGATGTCCATGCTACCCAAAGCAATCTATAGATTTAATGTAATCCCTATCAAACTACCAAGCATTTAGCACAGTGATATGTGTGTATATATATATATATGTGTGTGTGTGTCTATATATATGTATATATGAAATGTTATTCAGCCATAAGAAAAGAATAATCTTACCATTTGCAGCAACATGGATGGAGCTAAAGAGTATAATGCTATGTGAAGTAAGTCAGAGAAAGGCAAATACCATATGACTTCATTCATATGTGGAATTTAATAAACAAAACAAAGGAAAAAAAGACAAGCCAAAAAACAGACTATTGACTATAGAGAACAAAACAGATGGTTACCAAAGGGAAAGCGGAAAGTGGAAGGGGGAATGGGTGAAATAGGTGAAGGACATTAAGAATACACTTATCTTGATGAACACTGAGTAATGTATAGAATTGTTAAATCACTATATTGTACACCTGAAGCTAATATAACACCATACTGGAATTTTTAAAAAGTTACCTCAGAATTATTAAGATGTTATATTTGAGTTAACTGAAATATATCACATTCTTCAATCATTCCAGGAAGATCAGGTCGTGGTTTATTATTAGGAATGACGTATTTTTTTCTTCTTGTTCATCTTTTTTCTTTAAAGATTTTATTTTTATCATTCATGAGACACACACACACACACACACACACACACACACACGGAGAGAGAGAGAGAGGCGGGGGGGGGGGGGCATAGTCATATGCAGAGGGAAAAGCAGGCTCCATGCAGGGAGCCTGATGTGGGACTTGATCCTGGGACTCCAGGATCACGCCCTCGGCTGAAGGCAGGCACTAAACCCCTGAGCCACCCAGGCATCCCTTGTTCATCATTTGAATAGCTTAATGTTTACTTAATTTCCCTATGTTAGACATAGATATTTATTTAACATGTAGTCCCTCCCCATAAGAATGAGAATGTAGAGCAGTAGTTCTGAAACTTCAGTGTATTCCATAGTGTAGTGGTTATCACATTCGCCTCACACATGAAAGGTCCCTGGTTTGAAACTGGGCAGAAACAGCTTTCTTGGCGGCCTGGTTTCCGTAGTGAAACTTCAGTATATATAAAGAATCACTTGGTTTACCTGTTAAAATTTCATATTCTCAGAACCTACTCTAGACCTACTGAATCAGATTTACTGGAGGATGAAACCTGGAAGTCTTAACACGTAACTGGCTCCTTTATACCAACCACACTTGGAGAAACATGGGTCTAGAAAGTTTATTATGCTGGAAGCTTGCTCTGGGAAGTTTTGGTTTACTTTATTGCCACGCTTTTTTTTGTATTCTGATCAGTACTAAATTAAAAAATTGAATATATAATAAGATTATAAAAACTTAAATCATACTGTGAAAATTCTTTTAAGTGTACAACAGTGGTTCTCAATAAAGGAGGAGGGGAATTTTACTCCCTGGGCCTATCTGGCAATGTCTGGAGACATTTTTGGTTGTTGTAGCTGAAGGTAGAGGTACTACTGGTATCTGGTGGGTGGAGATCAGGGATGCTGCTCAACATCCTACAATGTGCAGGACAACTCCCAACAACAAAGAATTATCTGGCTCAAGATGTCAGTATTGCCACTATTGTAAAACCCTGGTTTAGAGTGATCTGTTTCCTCAGTATCATTGTTCCACAAATCTTGTTAATTACTTGCTATACCAATCTTTTGAGAGTGTATATCTTTCTCTATGGGCTTAGAGTTTATATTTGGTTTTCCATTTGTGCACATAATCATTTTATGGCTCTTACTGCAATTATTTTGTATCTACTACAAAACTAATTTTGGTTCTAGGTCTAAGAATTCTTTCCCTATCCCATGATCCTTAAATGTTCTCTCCTAATTGTTTTCCTAAAAAAAATTTTTTAAGTAAGCTGTACACCCAGTGTGGGACTTAAACTCATGACTCCAAGATCAAAAGTCACATGTACTACTGACTGAGCCAGCCAGCTGCCCGTTTTTCTTCTTTCCTAAAATTTTTATAGTTTTCATTTTTATGTTTAAGTATGTGATCCAGTTTGAGTTAATTTTTGAATAGAGTGTAAAGTTTAGTTCAAGATTCACATTTTTGACTATGGATGTCCAGTTGCTCCAGCACTGTTTGTTGAAAAGGCTATCCTTCCTTTAGTGAGTTTTTGCAACTTTATGAAATATCAATTGGCTCTACTTAATGGAGGTCTGTTTCTGGGTTCTCATTTCTGTGCCATTCATTCATGGGTCTATTCTTTCATCAGTACCACTCTGCATTGCTTATTAGAGCTACATAGTATGCCTTAAGATCAGGTAGAGTAATCCTCCCATTTTATTCTTTGTTTTCAAGATTGTTTTAACTATTTGTTTTTTTATATGTGCGCTTTTTTGGGTTTGGTTTGGTTTTTAGAAGCAAGATCTTATACAAAACTAGCTGATTGGTTTAACTCAACATTCTTTGTAATCTTTGGCAAATGAAAGGTTTTCTGACTTTATATTTTATTTATTAGTAAATAATAATTCATCTCAACAATATATCTGATTAAACTTAATCATGAAATGATATAATTTTAAGAATCATTATCATTATCAGGCTCAATTATCAGATTCTATTTTTAGGTCACTCACAGTTTCTGTTACCTCTGCTTGTTAGTCTTGGTTTAAGTAAGTTGCCTCGTTAAAAGGAACTTCAAATGCCATGCTGAGAGCATTAATGCTACGCTCCTTCCTTTTTTTAGATGGTGTTATCAGAAAAGGTTAGTCAACTGATGGAATGGACCAATAAAAGACCTGTAATAAGGATGAATGGAGACAAGTTCCGTCGCCTTGTTAAAGCCCCACCAAGAAACTACTCCGTTATTGTCATGTTCACTGCTCTCCAACTTCACAGACAGTGTGTCGTGTGCAAGTATGAACTTTCAACTACACTTTAAAATTAAATAACATAAACTTTTGACCGTTTCTCTATCCCAGAAGATCCGAATTAGTTCAGTGGGTACATAAACAATTATTGTATATACCTTACTTAGGATGACTGTAGTAACATATATTGCCCTTTTACAGTCATTTCTTGGTTGCCCACATTAGTAGGGGGAAGAAAGAACAAGGATAAAGTATTGTGGTAGCCATAATAGGAATAACTTAAAAAGTGAATAATCATCATACAAATTGGTATCAACTTACATAAATATATGCCAATGGGATTGATGTAGTATTTTATTATTTGTAAATGCTTTCAGTTTCATATTCTTATTTTATACAATAACCCCAGAAGGTAAGTAAAACAAATATTCTCTCATGAAGAAATAGGTTCCAAAACCTTTTAACTGGTTTACCCAAAGCTAGAAATAATTATTAATGCAAATGCAATAATGGTAGCTACATTACAGATTTGGAATTACAAGAGAACAGTTTTAGAAAATAAAGATGTGTGATTTTGAAATGTTTTCTTTTTTTATATTATTTTGTAGTGATTATAAAACTTGGAAATGGAGGCTAATCTCACTTAAACTTTCATCAGACCATGCTTTATTGATTTGATCTTACTGTTTCTGAATTATCTTAGGAACAGATTGATATTTCTTTAAAAAAAGGACTTTGGGGATGCCTGGGTGGCTCAGTTGTTGGGTGCCTGCCTTTGGGATCCAGGATCAAGTCCTGTATCAGGCTCCCTGCGAGCCTACTTCTCCCCCTGCCCATGTCTCTACCTCTCTTCCTCAGTCTGTGTCTGTCATGAATAAATGAATAAATCTTTTTTTATTATAAATTTATTTTTTATTGGTGTTCAATTTGCCAGCATATAGAATAACACCCAGTGCTCATCCCATCAAGCGCCCACCTCAGTGCCCGTCACCCAGTCACCCCCACCCCCCGCCCACCTCCCTTTCCACCACCCCTAGTTTGTTTCCCAGAGGTAGGAGTCTTTCATGTTTTGTCTCCCTTTCTGATATTTCCCACTCTAAATGAATAAATCTTTTTTTAAAAAAGGGCACTTTACATAAAAGGGCAACATTTCTTTAAACAAAATTTAAAATAGTGGGTACTAAAAAATAGAATAGCTTTTGCTTTTTGGTGTTTTTTTTAACTTACATCAATATGTGTGATCTGAGAATTCATTTTAAATGAAATGACGAAGCTACCCTGTGAAGAACTAATTTAATAAAATCTTGAAGTCTTTTCAAATTCTGACAGCCTGGGCCTATGTGAAGGAATAGACAATTTTTTTTTTTTAGAATATGCATTATGATACCCCAAGACTTGCTAACTTTCCATAAAGGATTTTCCCCTCAGAGGTAGAAGATAGTTAAGGTATTTGATCCCAGAGTACTTATTTTTGGGCACCTATGCTGGATAGCAGGTATTATGCATAAACTTAAAATCTAGAATTACTCTTAATTTAGTCTTTTCACTCAGCAATCAAGAATATACAAAAATGTTAGGGAACAAACACAAACTCCTTCATAATTCTGTATTAAATGCAAATTCATGATATTTTTATTGACCTAAGTTTTTATTAGTATCTTTATATAAGATGAAATTTAAAATTAGCTCATATTTTCCTAAACACACTCAAAAAATAAAAAATTGGGCAGCCCGGGTGGCCTTCGGTGCAGGGCGTGATCCTGGAGACCTGGGATTGAGTCCCACATCAGGCTCCCTGCATGGAGCCTGCTTCTCTCTCTGCCTGTGTCTCTGTCTCTCTCTTTTTTTCTCTCTCTCTCTCTGTCTCTCATAAATAAATAAAAATCTTTAAAAAATTAACAGTAATGTGTATAATACTATGTATTTGGTGCTATCAGGATGAGAAGTATAAGATGCCCTACCCTTATTATATGGCTAGTGAAATGAGTTCCACACATGAAAATTTAGCAATATAAAGCAATTTCAATTAAGTACCAAATGGATTATGTATATAATAAATACTACAAAATTTCAGGGAGAACATATAACAGGAAGATTAAGGTTGGCCTAATGGAAAAGAAAGGATTTGTATTAGGGCTAGACAGATGGATCAGATTTAGATAGAAGTATGATATTTTGGTTAGAAGTAAAGATGTGTGCAAGAATACAGAGATCATGGTAAATAAAGTGCTGGAATTAAAAGATCCTGTTTTATATTGATTAGTAGTAAGGCTACATAAAAGTTAGATGCCTTATTGGAACTAGGTGATAAAAAATACTTGAGGGACGCCTGGATGGCTCAGTGGTTGAGCGTCTGCCTTTAGCTCAGGGCAAGATCCCACAGTCCCGGGATCGAGTCCCACATTGGACTTCCTACATGGAGCCTGCTTCTCCCTCTGCCTATGTTTCTGCCCCTCTCTCTGTGTCGCTTATGAATAAGTAAATAAAATCTTTAAAAAAAAACTTGAATAACCAGTGAAAAGGCTTGGAGACTGTTCTGAAGGTGGTAGAAAAGCAACAATAGTTTTTGAGAAGAGTAGGAGTTTCAGGAAAGTAGTAATTATGAAGATTGTTGTATATTGCAGTGTAAGAAGGATTGGAAGAGGAGAAACTAGAGTCAGTATTTTAATATTCTAATGTCAGATATTAAGGATCTGACTTTAGCTGATAGCAATGAAAATAAATAGGAAGAGATGGAATTAAAAGATAATCACAAATGAAAAATTATCAGATCTTAGAAACTGAAAACATATGGGCAATAAGGGAAAAGTCAAACATGATTCGAGGTTTCAATCTCAATTCTCTAGATTCTTTCGCACTAAGAATTCATCTGACTGTATTTTCATTTACTAAATAATAGCATGTTATATGATAGATTTATAAAATGGATTACTCTTATAGTTTACTTTCTCTGGAAATACTTCAACCTTGTCTTTGAACACCTAGAAGTAATTTAAGGTATTAAAAAGCTGTTGTACAATTAACTGGATTTTTCCAGTGACTACTTAAAGAGCTTTGAAATAAGAAGCACAAAGTATGAAGCTGAGTCAAGTAACTACCTTCTGTTGGAATCCCCAACACTTAGGATATGGCTTCTTTTATGCCAAAACAATGACAGTGTTTTCCAGAGTTTGTCCTGACCCTTTCAGCAGAGCCTTACTGGTGTTTCTCTGTCTCTGTCTGTCTCTCTCTCTCAAAATATTTCTCCCGTTGGAAACACTGCTATTGCTTCTTTGGCTCTGTTTCACTGCTGATAAACTAGATTGCTGTTAAAAAATGTTTTATATGTTCATAAATCTGATTGTATCCAGGCAAGCTGATGAAGAATTCCAGATCCTGGCAAACTCGTGGCGATACTCCAGTGCATTTACCAACAGGATATTTTTTGCTATGGTGGATTTTGATGAAGGCTCTGATGTATTTCAGATGGTAAGATCTTTGGCTTATTTTACTAAGTAGGGATAAGTTAACTCTAGATAAAGTGGAATATATTTTTTTTCAGTGGTCACAAGAAGTTTTATTTATGTATTCCTTGTTATCTAAGTATACTGGGTATATAATTCATATTGCTTTCAGGTACACAGCATAGTGATTTGACACTTCCATACATTACTTAGTGCTCAACATGGTAAGAGTAGTCACTATCCATTACCACACAATATTATTACAATATTTGACTATATATCCAATGCTATATTTTACATTTTTGTAACTTATTTATTTTATAACCGGAAGTTTGTTCCTCTTAATCCCCTTCACCTATTTTGCCCAACCCCCCATTCTTTCTGGTAACCACAGGTTTTTTCTTTGTATTTCTGAGGCTGTTTGTGTGTTGTTTTTTAGATTCCACATATAAGTGAAATCATATAGTATTTGTCCTTCTCTGTCTGATGTATTTCACTTAGCATAATACCCTCTAGGTCCACCCATGTTGTCACAAATGACAAAATTTCATTCTTTTTTTATGGCTGAGTAAGAGAGAGAGAAAGGGGATCCCGGGTGGCTCAGCGGTTTGGCGCCTGCCTACGGCCCGGGGCATGATCCTGGGGTCCCGGGATCAGGTCCCACGTCAGGCTTCCTGCATGGAGCCTGCTTCTCCTTCTGCCTGTGTCTCTGCCTCTCTCTCCCTCTCTCTGTGTATCTCATGAATAAATTAATAAAATCTTTAAAAAAAAGAGAGAGTGTGGGCAGCTCGGGTGGCTCAGCGGTTTAGCATCGACTTTAGCCCAGGGCCTGATCCTGGGGACCTGGGATCGAGTCCCACAACAGGCTCCCTGCATGGAGCCTGCTTCTCCCTCTGCCTCTCTCTCTCTCTTTATCTCTCTCGAATAAATAAATAAAATCTTTAAAAAAGAGAGAGAGAGTGTGTGTGTGTGTGTGTGCACGTGCACACACATATATACACATATACGTGTACACCTTTTTTATCCATTCGTCTATAGATGGGCATGTGGTTGCTTCTGTATTTTGTCTGTTCTCTGCCATAAATCGGAATGCATATTTTTTCTAATTAGCATTTTCATTTTCTTTTTTTTAAAGATTTTATTTATTTATTCATGAGAGACACAGAGAGAGACAGACATAGGCAGAGGAAGAAGCAGCCTCCCCACAGGGATCCCGATGTGGGACTTGATCCCTGAATCCCAGGGGTCACGTGATCCCAGAATCACGCCCTGAGCCAAAGGCAGACGCCCAACTGCTGAGTCACCCTGGCGTCCCAGCATTTTCATTTTCTTTGGGTAAATACTCAGTAGTGGGCGGCCCTGGTGGCTCAGCGGTTTAGCGCCGCCTTCTGCCCAGGGCGCGATCCTGGAGACCCGGGATCAAGTCTCACATCCAGCTCCCTGCGTGGAGCCTGCTTCTCCCTCTGCCTGTGTCTCTGCCTCTCTCTCTCTCTCTCTCTCTCTCTCTTTCTGTGTGTGTGTGTGTGTGTGTGTCTCTCATGAATAAATAAATAAAATCTTTAAAAAATAGTAGTATAATTCCTGGGTGATGTTATATTTCCATTTTTAATGTTTTGAGGAAGTTCATACTGTTTTCCATACTGGTTGCACCAATTTATATTTCCACTAGCAGTGCACAAGGGTGCCCTTTTCACCACATCTTCACCAACATTTGTTATTTCTTTTCTTTTTGATTTGAGCCATTCTGACAGGTGTGAGGCAATATCTCATTGTGATTTTGATTTGCATTTCTTTGATGATTAGTGATGTTGAGCATCTTTTCATGTTTCTATTGGCCGTTTGTATGTCTTCTTTGGAAAAAATGTATTCAGGTTCACTGCCAATTTTTAATTGGATTGTTTGGTTCTTTTTGGTGTGGAGTTATGTAAGTTCTTTATGTATTTTGGATATTAACCCTTATTTTGGATATGTCTTTTGTAAATGTCTTCTCCTGTTCAGAAGGTTGCCTTTTCGGGGAGGGAGGGGCAAGATGGTGGAAGAGCAGGGTCCCCAAATCGCCTGTCCCCACCAAATTACCTAGATAACCTTCAAACAATCCTGAAAATTTACGAATTCGGCCTGAGATGTAAAGAGAGACCAGCTGGAATGCTACAGTGAGAAGAGTCCGCGCTTCTATCAAGGTAGGAAGACGGGGGAAAAGAAATAAAGAAACAAAAGGCCTCCGAGGGGGAGGGGCCCCGCGAGGAGCCGGGCTGAGGCCGGGGCGAGTGTCCCCAGGACAGGAGAGCCCCGTCCCGGAGAAGCAGGAGCTGCACCAACCTTCCCGGGCTGCGGAAAGGGGCTCGCAGGGAGGTGGAGCAGGACCCAGGAGGGCGGGGATGCCCTCGGGCTCCCGGGGACACTAACAGACACCTGCGAGCGCAGGAGAGTGCTCCGAGCTCCCTAAGGGCTGCAGCGCGCACGGAGGGACCGACCGGAGCAGCTCGGAGGGGCTCGGGAGCGGCTCCAGGGAGGGAGCTGCAGGGCGGGAGCGCGAATCCAACAGCGCAGGCCCCGGAGCACAGGGCGCCGGGACACAGCCCAGGATCCGGCCTCCCCCGGGACAGGCAGAGTCCGGGAGGGCCCAGGACAGCAAGGACGCTCCTGCCCCGAGCTGAGCAGATCAGCGGCCCCGCCCCGGAGCCTCCAGGCCCTGCGGACAGAGAACCGAGAGCCCGAGAGCCCGAGCCCCGTAGTTCCTGCGGAGGCTAAATCCAGGCTTCCAGAGTTGCCATAGCAACTGCTGCTGTTCCTCCTGGGGCCCCACGGGGTAAACAACCCCCGCTGAGCCCGGCAGCAGGCAGGGGCAGAGCAGCTCCCCCAAGTGCTAACACCTGAAAATCAGCACAGCAGGCCCCTCCCCCAGAAGACCAGCTGGACGGACCAGTGATACTCCCCTGTGTTCCAATACAACTTGTTTTTGGCCACTCTGCACTGAGCAAAATGACTAGAAGGAAAACCTCACCTCAAAAGAAAGAATCAGAAACAGCCCTCTCTCCCACAGAGCTACAAAATCTGCATTACAATTCAATGTCAGAAAGCCAATTCAGAAGCACTATTATACAGCTACTGGTGGCTCTAGAAAAAAGCATTAAGGACTCACGAGACTTCATGACTACAGAATTTAGATCCAATCAGGCAGAAATTAAAAATCAACTGAATGAGATGCAATCCAAACTAGAAGTCCTAACGACGAGGGTTAACGAGGTGGAAGAACGAGTGAGTGACATAGAAGACAAGTTAATGGCAAAGAGGGAAACTGAGGAAAAAAGAGACAAACAATTAAAGGACCATGAAGACAGATTAAGGCAAATAAATGACAGTCTAAGGAAGAAAAACCTACGTTTCATTGGGGTTCCCGAGGGCGCCGAAAGTGACAGAGGGCCAGAATATGTATTTGAGCAAATCCTAGCTGAAAACTTTCCCAATCTGGGAAGGGAAACAGGCATTCAGATCCAGGAAATAGAGAGATCCCCCCCTAAAATCAATAAAAACCGTTCAACACCTCGACATTTAATAGTGAAGCTTGCAAATTCCAAAGATAAAGAGAAGATCCTTAAAGCAGCAAGAGACAAGAAGTCCCTGACTTTCATGGGGAGGAATATTAGGGTAACAGCAGACCTCTCCACAGAGACGTGGCAGGCCAGAAAGGGCGGGCAGGATGTATTCAGGGTCCTAAATGAGAAGAACATGCAACCAAGAATACTTTATCCAGCAAGGCTCTCATTCAAAATGGAAGGAGAGATAAAGAGCTTCCAAGACAGGCAGGAACTGAAAGAATATGTGACCTCCAAACCAGCTCTGCAAGAAATTTTAAGGGGGACTCTTAAAACTCCCCTTTAAGAAGAAGTTCAGTGGAACAATCCACAAAAACAAGGACTAAATAGATATCATGATGACACTAAACTCATATCTGTCAATAGTAACTCTGAACGTGAATGGGCTTAATGACCCCATCAAAAGGCGCAGGGTTTCAGACTGGATAAAAAAGCAGGACCCATCTATTTGCTGTCTACAAGAGACTCATTTTAGACAGAAGGACACCTACAACCTGAAAATAAAAGGTTGGAGAACCATTTACCATTCAAATGGTTCTCAAAATATACCCTAAAAACTATAGAACACTTCTGAAAGAAATTGAGGAAGACACAAAGAGATGGAAAAATATTCCATGCTCATGGATTGGCAGAATTAATATTGTGAAAATGTCAATGTTACCCAGGGCAATTTACACGTTTAATGCAATCCCTATCAAAATACCATGGACTTTCTTCAGAGACTTAAAACAAATTATTTTAAGATTTGTGTGGAATCAGAAAAGACCCCAAACAGCCAGGGGAATTTTAAAAAAGAAAACCATATATGGGGGCATCACAATGCCAGATTTCAGGTTGTACTACAAAGCTGTGTTCATCAAGACAGTGTGGTACTGGCACAAAAACAGACATATAGATCAATGGAACAGAACAGAGAACCCAGAAGTGGACCCTGAACTTTATGGTCAACTAATATACGATAAAGGAGGAAAGACGATCCACTGGAAGAAAGACACTCTCTTCAATAAATGGTGCTGGGAAAATTGGACATCCACATGCAGAAGAATGAAACTGGACCACTCTCTTGCACCATACACAAAGATAAACTCAAAATAGATGAAAGATCTAAATGTGAGACAAGATTCCATCAAAATCCCAGAGGAGAACTCAGGCAACACCCTTTTTGAACTTGGCCACAGTAACCGGAGAAGGACAAACAGTGTATGTTCTCATTCATTTGGGGAATATGAATAATAGTGAAAGGGAATATAAGGGAAGGGAGAAGAAATGTGTGAGAAATATCAGAAAGGGAGACAGAACATAAAGACTTCTAACTCTGGGAAATGAACTAGGGGTGGTGGAGGGGGAGGAGGGCGGGGGGTGGGGGTGAATGGGTGACGGGCACTGAGGGGTACACTTGACGGGATGAGCACTGGGTGTTATTCTGTAT